AAACTCGGAAAGTACTGAGTAACAAGAGCTATTTTTACACGTGTCCAATGTTGTGAGAGTGATAATAGTGGAAATGCTTCTGTCAAAATCAAATATGGTTAAAAGGTTGAATGCTATAAATAACCTGCTAAGGCTGCCATAGGCTATATTAAAAAAAATTAATCAGTGTTTATTTTTAAGGCAGTTTTGAGAAAAGTAATTTGTTGCCTAAAATGTCTAGACATTTGTTAAAGTGAAAAATGTACTGGAATACAAACTGAATTCATGCACATAACTGTTGCATTTTGAGTAGAGGAAGTCTAGTCTAGATTTCATTTTGTGTAAGATGCAGAAAAACCACAAAACCTCAACAAGCCCAGACCAATAGATAGGAGTCAGCTGTAGAGGATCTAAACACCATCACACATCTCACAATAGCTGATGTTGCTACACAAATGATAACTGTACATCAAAATCATGCTATATGTCCACTATAGTGAAGAAAACAAACCCACTTACCTCCTTTGCTTTGAAGGGGTCTCTGGAGAAAACTGGTGTTCCATTATATCTTTCTGTGTTTGGAATTTTCTGTAGGGAAAGAAACAACAGTTAAAAGTACTTCATGTTGAGTGTGACTCCAGAAGTGTGTGTGGTCATTACAATCTGAGCTTATAGGGGACTGTTTACACAATCACAAGTTTTCACAAATCTCTAATGTTTTGATACTGAATCAACTTCTTTTCAGTAGTTTGTTGAACACATGAGCTTTGACATGAATGTAGCCTGTAAATGTCAGATCTTCTGTTAGCGTAATGCTGTACTTACATAGTGCCGCCGCAGTCTCTGGAGGGTCTGGTTCATCGTCCTGGGGATGTGAGAGCTCCTGACTTGGGCCACAAACAGTAACACACACACACACAGCGCAACTCTGCCCGTAGCATCCATCACAGCACAAGACCAACACAAAGTCAATCCAAAGAGTCCACCCCTTCACACTAATCAAACACAAATGTTTGACTTGTCATGAAACCTTCTTTATAAGACAGGGTAGTAGAAGGGAGAGACAGCCTGTGAAGCACCGATGATCTAGGTGTGAAAATGTGGTTGACTTGTTTCCTTTAAATCACCAATCTTCATAGAAGTGGGTGAGAGGGGTCTCCTACTTAGCAAACGCACCTACACTCATCAACTTCATATTAAAATATTCTGCTTAAGTACTAGTGTGCTGCTTTTTGACCAGATAGTTCATGCAGTCCATGGTTTCATGCATCACTGCGCTACTGCAGATCATTGCATGTTAAAACTTTCTGGCGATGCTTGTCATTAATGCCTGGCACAGTCTCCTCAGCAATTTTGCTCACATACAATGGAAACTTGAATTCTTTTGAGTCCCTGTCAAGTTGAGACAATTTATCAGGTACAATGCACATAACCAAAAATGTTTTTGCAATGCTGGTGACACTATGAGCCAGGATAAACTAAACACAAAAATGCTATCTCAAATGCAATTACAATTTTGTGATACACCCAAATATAATAATGCAGAAGAATGAGTGGTCTTACTGAAAGGAAAGAATAAGTATTCAGCAGGTGTGACGTAATAGCCTGAGTAGATACACAAGGCTCTGCTGGGAGAAAACACATGACATTTCTTGTCAGCACATGGGTCCTTTTACAAAAACAAAAGTAAAACCTACCTGTATATCATAAATGAAATGGATTTAATATAAATATGTGAGAAAAAAGGTTACATTTGTTCAGAGACAATCGGGCTGTAAAAGAGATGTTCTGCACCTGCTTATATCAAAATAGCAAGTTTCCACCTGCAGTCTCTGATTATGAATTAGAAAATCCATAAATCCAGCTCTGCGCCAACACACACCTCATCACACATGCACACTACATTACAATCATAGTATTATGAAAATATATTTAGTATTTGTAATAATCTTCCATTACCACAAAATATATAAAAGGAGGTTGTAATTTTCAAAGATATTTTAAATTTTACACATCCACTGTACATGTCTCCACACAGATGTGTATGGGTTGGACGAGATCACCAACTGTCAAGAGACATCAGCATGTATGTAAAATGCAGTTCAGCGTTACTTTTCCTTTATGGTATCAGATGTTTTTGGTGTTTGTCGTTAAGTTCTTTGAACTGTCAATTAGTCCATCCAGTTCTCTGGTGCAGTGAGGGCCTTTCCTGCAAAGGGGGTTGAGGGAAAATTAGTCACTTTTTTGCCAACCTTTGGACAGTTTCGGTCCCGGAGTGTGCATGACGTCCCGGTGGAAGGTTATGTGCGGTGGAGGCCCCGGCCTTCACACCTACCTCCCTATTCTAATGCTATGCTTTTTAGTTTGCTCATCAAGCGTTATGTTAGAATAAGGATACCATTATTTGTTTGTTTGGTGTATATTTTGAACATGCATAGAAAAAAAAATCATTATCAAGACAATATTAACAATAGAGCATAAAGAGTAAGTAACAATAGAGTATAAAAAAAACAATGGACAATGAGGATTCATAATCCTTATATACAAGGATTATATATTATATTATATTATATTATGTTATGTTATATTATATATATATTCGAAAATGAGTGGGTGAAAGTAAAACATATTTATTCTCACCTCTTTTTCCAGTGTTAATTAAAGAACATATGTATATTATAAAATATATGTATTTCCTTGATTCCTTTGATCAAAATATGCACAGTTCACTTTTTTTTCTTATTCATACAATACCATTACCCTTTTGCCTTACTTAACACCTCCATCTCTTGGTTTATTTTCAGTTTATTTAATTTATTTTACAGGGACCATGTACAGGAGCATTAATCAAAGAAACATTGAATGCTTTGACACAGATTATAGCTCTTGGAGCTCATTTCCATCTGCAGTGAGACAGACAAAGCACAGAATACAAAAAGAGCATAAACAATGCAATCTATGTACAAACAGTAAAAATACAATGGCATTAAATATCTCTATCCCAATCCCCAATCCCACCCTGCTCCCTCTGTACTCTTAATTTTGTTGTACAATTTTGTTGTTAGTTATAAGTAGTTTTTTTCTACATTAGTTAGCACTTCTGTATTGTTAAAAGATATTCTTAATTCAGCACTAAACTTTTTTTTACACATTAAAGAATTCCACAGGCAAACTGTTCCATAGTCTAATTCCACAGACTGAAGCACAAAAGCTTTTCCTAGTTGTCAAAATGGTCACTGATTTGAAGTTGGTTTTATCTCTCTAATTATAATAAAAAGTACCATGAAATAAAGTTTTTTATTTTATTCTTGGGTTGGTGAATATGAATGACACACCACTTCACATCACTGAGGGGAAGTCCCACTCTGTGATTGGTCGTGGCATTTGGGTTTTCGCTGATGTCACAATGATGTCACAGGGATAGTTGAGGTCCTTTCACATGTACAGTCATGGGTTCCTTTTTTTTTTTTCTCACTTTCTTTCATTACATAATTATAAGTTGTGGGGTAAAAACCACTGGAGCCAGTTCAAATGTCTCATAAAACCCTTCTATGGTCAGGTTTCCCAGGTGAGAAACCACTTCTTTAATGACTTGAGTTTATTCAGCAGAATAGACAGTGTATTATTATTATGATGATAATTATGATTATGATGATGATTATTATCATTTCATTTTATTTTATTACATACATCGGGTTTATATATTGTTTATGTTTGTTAATCAGTATTTCTGTATGTCTTCAAATAAACAATACATAAATAATAAGAAAGAATAAGAAATACATTAATTAATTAATATCCATGAATCCATTCTAATGTAGTTTTTATTTACTTATTTATTTAAATAAATAACAAAATACATAATTCAAATAAATAATGCATTAATAAATACATTAAATACATTTTTTTTTTTTAAACAACAATAAATAACAGATTGCAGATCGCTGTTCAACACTAAATAAATAAGTCAGTGGTAAATGAAAATTTGACAAGCTGAAACTTATATATATAAATAAATAAAATAATAAAATAGGACTGTAGTTATATCAGTTATATCTATTGTCCCGGGAAGTCAGGAGGCCTGAGATGGCATCATACACTTCCAAGAACTGAGCCAGGGCCTTCCTCTGCACCAGCGGGTCATCCACCTGGAAATAAACAACAAAAGCATATGAAACAACTAACTACTCAAGAAGTGCTGTTACCTCCTAACCTCATCCTTTATATTATATAATATATATATATATATATATATATATATATATATATATATATATATATATATATATATATATATATATATATATATATATATATATATATATATATATATATACACATATATTTTTATTATTTTTTTTTTTTACATGTGTCGTACCTTGATAGCGTTGATTTTGGAGAGCAGGTCCTCCCTGTTTGTTTGCAGGTGACTTAGTTCAGTTTTGCGTTTTAACACGTACTTCCTGAATTCCTTAATGGCATTCTGCACCTCATGTACCTCTGAGCGGTGCAGTTGCTGCAGGAGGGGGGCGCTATGGGGCCCATGGTGTAGGAGGCTGCTGAAGATCCTCATGTACACATCCAGTGTGGCATTCAACACTTTGTCCTTTAGCAGTAAAGGACACAGACAGACTTTAAGTATTTCAGTGTATGACACTACATTTAAAAACACTGTCAATTTCTGGTTTAGTGGCTTGTTGATCACTGGAACATCTTTAAACCGGTGTTTAAAGATGAATTGTGTGAACAGGCAAAATGGGTTCCCGGTAAGCAAAAATTACTATTAAAATCTTTCAGATAGCCTGTTTACCTAAAAATATTTTTGCAAAGAAGAATACAATTCCCAAAAGGGAACTCAAAGTAAATGTTAATTGTGCCAGCAAAATGATTATAAAATTACTCTACTCTACTAAAACTAATTTATTTTTTGGTTGAGTAAATGAAGATTAGAACATCTGAAAGTACTTCCAGTTCAAGGCATATATAAGACTTGGCCACTGTAAAGTAGTTATTTGTAGTCACATAAATAAATGTGCATGTACCTGAGAGGAGCTGTTCAAACTCCTAATGACAGAAGTGAAGAGGGGGTTACTTCCAACCTCTGGATGAGTCAGATTCTGTAAAAGAAAGCATTTAATAGCTCTGTTTTCATTCAAATAAACAACACATTCACCAGTACCCCGGCCATTATAAACTGATCAATACATTTTTATTCTATATGACTTTTTTACTCTTTGATGCACTGAACCTACGACATAGGCCAATGTAGAGTGGAGCCTGATGATTAGGAGTCTAAAAGGGTACATTATTCAACTCTATCAAGTATGGTACATATAACACAAATATATAATATAAATAATATCAAAACAAAAAAGCTAGTACTCACCAAGGGGGTCACGATGGACTCATGGGCTTTAGACAGGACATGTGGCACAGAGTGAATGGGAACACTCGACACTAAAGCCGCTCCAAATAAAACCAGCAGATAGACCACAGCCATAATATACCAATATGTTAAATATGTTTCAACACAAGTGATAGAGCAGTAATGATGATCTACTGATTGATGCTCTGAGCTGGCCTGTGCCTTTATAGGTGGCTCCATCCCTGTACGTCTCATTGTGTAGCTGCGTCTGTGTGGTCGTGTATCGTCTGTGGTCTGTGGGCTTTCAGAATTAGCACCATTGACAACAGTTTTCCTCTAAAAAAACTCCTCTGCTGCTAAACACACGCACAAAGGAGAATCCCTGGTCAGAGCAGAGGAGGGCTACTGATTTATATTATTAGGCACATAGAAGTTTATAGCAGCTTTTACTTCTACACAAGAAGATAAAATCATAGCCATGGCAAAGCATAATAACACAAATATATTGGTAATAACACATTTTAATGATAAGTATTGCTAAATTAAAAGCACTTTAGTTAAAGTAAAACTTTACTTAAAAACAAGTGACACATATACATAAATAATATTATGTCTGTCAAAATAAATGGGCAGAAATTGAGCAAAAACCAGATGTGTGTGGTATATGCACCACAGTTTGAGAAGCACTATTCTTACTTGAAGGTATCCCTCAGCACCTTATGTTTATTTTGGGAATAGCTGTTTCACTAATTTCATAAGATATGAAAGTGTGTCAGTGAGAGAATGAGATTATGTTTGACACACTCATCTTTGTATTTTAGAGTGGAACGAAGGGAAAGATAGACCACCCTCCCAATGAAACAAGGTCAGTGCAGTTCCAGTTCTCTCTCATTTTCAGCCAAAGTGCATAACAGTGTGTGCACATATAAATGCAGCTGCCAAACAAACCTTTATTACTCACTTAACAATCTCTTATCTATCATCATATATATATATATATATATATATATATATATATATATATATATATATATATATATATATATATATATATATATATATATATATATATATATATATATATATATATTTATTTATTTATTTATTTATTTATTTATATTTATCAAAAATGGCTTAATAATAGAAACTGGTCAATTGACTACCTGTTCAACACTGCAGAACCGATAAGCCTGGTCCCTTCATAGTGGCATGCATGATTCATCAAAGCAGAACTTTGAGTAGGCTCATGGTGAGGGAGAATCACTAAGCCTACATGTTAAATATGTCAACTTTAAGTGCAGTACACCACACCATAAATATCATCACGGAAAAAAAAAAATAAAACTAGGTGAAAATTTGCACATAAAGTAAGAGTTACATACACAATGGAGCAGCAATACTGGAAAAGCCAAAATCAGCAATAACGTAAGAGCAAAGTGATTTTCAAGTTTGCTCCCCAAGCAATGCATAATAGTTTGTCAAACTTAATGACATTTCAAGGACATTTTTACTAGTTTTGTAGGCCTACTGCATTTATGTGTATATTATTATTATGTTTATTTATTTTGGACTGTAATACATAGAACATAAATAAAAATAATAATAATAAATAATAAAAAAACAAAAACGTAAATACATAGATATAACACAAAAAGTAACTATTTCTATTCTATAATAACAGGCAAAATAAATGTTACGCAGAATTTTCCTTGTGTCCGAAAAAGGAGTGGGAGGAAGTAAATACTTATTTAACCCCACCCCTTTTTTCTACAGTCCCAAATTAACGAAGAACAAATACAGACTTCTCATTTCCTGTACATTATAAGCAATAATTGCACAGTACCTCCATTGCATTACAATCTAACAAACAACAACAAATATATGTATATTATGTGCACAGATATAGTACACATCATATACACAGATATAATATATACATACCTACATACACATCACATACCCATGCATACCTATATATATATATACATATATACACCCATATACATACACATACATATACATGCGCACATATACCCTAAGCGCTCATTTCTTCCGCACAGTATTTTGAAATAATTAATTTTTTTATTGCCCTTTTGAGTACATGTATATTCGAACAAAGTTTTAATTCTATTTTCAAGTTGTTCCATAATTTCACACCACAAACAGAGACACAAAAACTTTTTCTTGTCGTTCAAGCACAAGGCAATTTAAAATTCAAAACGCCTCTTAAGTTATAGTTTGTTTCCATTCCATGCCATTCCATTCCATTTTCATCCGCTTATCCGGGGCCGGGTCGTGGAGGCAGCAGTCTAAGCAGGGACTCCCAGACCTCCCTTTCCACACACACTTCCTCCAGCTCTTCTGGGGGGACCCCAAGGCGTTCCCAGGCCAGCCGAGAAACATAGTCCCTCCAGCGTGTCCTGGGTCTTCCCCGGGGCCTCCTCCCAGTGGGACATGCCCAGAACACCTCCCGAGGGAGGCGTCCAGGAGGCATCCGGAAAAGATGCCCGAGCCACCTCAACTGGCTCCTCTCAATGTGGAGGAGCAGCGGCTCTACTCCGAGCTCCTCCCGTGTGACTGAGCTCCTCACCCTATCTCTAAGGGAGCGCCCAGCCACCCTGCGAAGGAAACTCATTTCGGCCGCTTGTATCCGCGATCTTGTCCTTTCGGTCATTACCCAGAGCTCATGACCATAGGTGAGGGTGGGAACGAAGACTGACCGGTAAATCGAGAGCTTTGCCTTTCGGCTCAGCTCCCTCTTCACCACAATGATCCGATACAGCGACCGCATCACTGCTGAAGCTGCACCGATCCACCTGTCAATCTCAAGCTCCATCCTCCCCTCACTCGTGAACAAGACCCCGAGATACTTGAACTCCTCCACTTCAGGCAGGGCCTCTCCACCCACCCGGAGAGGGCAAGCTACCTTTTTCCGGTCGAGAACCATGGCCTTGGATTTGGAGGAGCTGATCTTCATCCCAGCCGCTTCACATTCGGCTGCAAACCGCCCCAGTGCACATTGCAGGTCCTGGTTCGATGAAGCCAACAGGACAACATCATCTGCAAACAGTAGAGATGAAATCCTGTGGTCCCCGAACCGGACCCCCTCCGGTCCCTGACTGCGCCTAGAAATTCTGTCCATAAAAACAATGAACAGAACCGGTGACAAAGGGCAGCCCTGGCGGAGTCCAACATGCACTGGGAACAGGTCTGACTTACTGCCGGCAATGTGAATACAGCTCCTGCTCTGGTCATACAGGGACCGGACAGCCCTTAGCAAAGGGCCCCGGACCCCATACTCTCAGAGCACCCCCCATAGGACACCACGAGGGACACGGTCGAATGCCTTCTCCAAGTCCACAAAGCACATGTGGACTGGTTGGGCAAACTCCCATGAACCCTCGAGCACCCGATGGAGAGTGTAGAGCTGGTCCAGTGTTCCACGGCCAGGACGAAAACCACACTGCTCCTCCTGAATCCGAGGTTCGACTATCGGGCGGATTCTCCTCTCCAGTACCCTGGAATAGACCTTACCGGGGAGGCTGAGGAGTGTGATTCCCCTGTAATTGGAACACACCCTCCAGAGAAACGTGTTAACCAACCAACAAGCAGAGACGTGTCAACCAAGACAGGCCCACAACATCCAGAGACTTCAGGTACTCAGGACGGATCTCGTCCACCCCCGGAGCCTTGCCACCAAGGAGCTTGCCAACCACCTCAGTGACTTCAGCCAGGGTGATGGACGAGTCCGCCTCTGGGTCCCCAGTCTCTGCTTCCTCCTCGGAAGACGTGACGGTGGGATTGAGGAGATCCTCAAAGTATTCTTTCCACCGTCCGACTACATCCCCAGTCGAGGTCAATAGCTCTCCCCCCCGCACTGTAAACAGTGTTGGTGAAGAACTTCTTCCCCCTCCTGAGGCGCCGGACGGTTTGCCAGAATCTCTTTGAGGCCGTCCGATAGTCCTCCTCCATGGCCTCCCCGAACTCCTCCCAGCTCCGAGTTTTTGCCTCTGTGACCGCACGAGCTGCAGCACGCTTGGCCCGTCGGTACCCATCAGCTGCTTCAGGAGTCCCACGAGCCAACAAGACCCGATAGGACTCCTTCTTCAGCTTGACGGCATCCCTTACTTCCGGTGTCCACCACCGGGTTCGGGGATTGCCGCCGCGACAGGCACCACAGACCTTACGCTCACAGCTCCGAGCTGCCGCATTGACAATGGAGGTGGAGAACAGAACCCACTCGGACTCCATATCTCCAACCTCCCCCGGGATCTGGGAGAAGCTCTCCCGGAGGTGTGAGTTGAAGATCCCTCTGATGGAGGGTTCCACCAGACGTTCCCAACAGACCCTCACTACACGCTTGGGTCTGCCAGGTCTTTCCGGCTTCTTCCACCGCCAGCAGATCCAACTCACCACCAGGTGGTGATCGGTTGACAGCTCAGCCCCTCTCTTCACCCGAGTGTCCAAGACACGCGGCCTGAGGTCAGATGACACGACGACAAAGTCGATCATCGACATCCGGCCTAGGGTATCCTGGTGCCACGTGCACTTATGGACACCCTTGTGCTCGAACATGGTGTTCGTTATGGACAAACTGTGACTAGCACAGAAGTCCAATAACAGAACATCACTCGGATTCAGATCAGGGAGGCCGTTCCTCCCAATCACCCCTCTCCAAGTGTCACTGTCGTTGCCCACGTGGGCATTGAAGTCCCCCAGTAGAACAACGGAGTCCCCAGTTGGTGCACTGTCTAGTACACCTCCCAGGGACTCCAAGAAGGCCGGGTACTCTGCACTGCTGTTCGGCCCGTAGGCCGACACCACAGTGAGAGACCTGTCCCCGACCCGAAGCCGCAGGGACACGACCCTCTCGTTCACTGGGGTGAACTCCAACACGTGGCGGCTGAGCTGTGGGGCTATAAGAAAGCCCACACCAGCCCGCCGCTGCTCCCCGCAGGCAACACCAGAAAAATGGAGGGTCCAACCCCTCTCGAGAGGTTGGGTACCAGAGCCCAAGCTGTGCGTGGAGGTGAGGCCGACTATATCTAGCCGGTACCTCTCAACCTCCCGCACAAGCTCAGGCTCCTTCCCCCCAGCGAGGTGACATTCCACGTCCCTACAGCCAGGTTCTGTGTCCGTGGACTAGGTTGCCGGGATCCCTGACCCTGACCGCTGCCTAGTTCACAGCGCACCCGACCCCTATGAAACCCTCTGTGGGTGGTGAGCCCACAGGAGGGCGGGCCCACGTCGTCCCTTCGGGCTGAGCCCGGCCGGGCCCCGTGGGCAAAGGCCCGGCCACCAGGCGCTCGCTTTCGAGCCCCAACCCCAGGCCTGGCTCCAGGGTGGGGCCCCGACTGCGCCATACCGGGCGACGTCACGGTCCTTGTTTTTATACTGTTCATAGAGGTTCTATGAACTGCTCTTAGTCTGCCCCGTCACCTAGGACCTGTTTGCCATGGGAGACCCTACCAGGGGCATAATGCCCCGGGCAACATGGGTCCTAGGATCATTCGGGTACGCAAACTCCCCCACCACGATAAGGTGGCAGTTCAAGGAGGAGTATAGTTTGTTTCCCTTTCACAAAAAAGTAGTTGAAGATTTTTTGGTAAGTGCTTATTTTTAGCTTTATACATGACTTGTGCAGTTTGGTACAGAATCAAATCATTCAGTTTGAGTAATTTGGCATGAATAAACAGTGGATTAGTGTGGTCATGAAATTTGACATTATAAATAATTCTTATTGCTTTTTTTTTTTGAAGTTTTATCAATGGTTCTATTGCAGTTTTATAGTTATTGCCCCAAATTTCTGCACAGTATGTTAAATATGGTAAAACCGGTGAACAATAAAGTGTGTGTAGTGCTCTGTGATCTAAGACATACTTTGCTTTGTTTAATACTGCAATACTTTTTGATATTTTATTATGTATATATTGGATGTGGGCTTTCCAGTTAATCTTCTCATCAATTATGACCCCTAAAAATGTATTCTCCTTGACCTGCTCTATTCTTACACCTTGTATCTGTAACTGTATTTTTTCTTCCTTATAATTCCCAAATAGCATTATTTTAGTTTTATTCAAATTTAGAGATAATTTATTTGTGTCAAACCATATTTTTAGCTGTATGTTGTCTCCATAACAAAATAAATTTGTGTCATCTGCAAATAACACTGCTTTAAACAATGTAGACACTTTGCATAGATCGTTAATATATAAAATAAATAATTTAGGTCCTAACACAGACCCTTGTGGCAGGCCACAGACAATGTCCTCATGTGAAGAGCAGCGTTCACCCAGTTTGACAAATTGTTTTCGGTTTACTAAATAACTTTTTAGCCACTTTAAAGCTACCCCTCTTATTCCATACCTTTCCATTTTTTAAATAGTAATTGATGATTTATTGTGTCAAAAGCCTTTTTTAAATCTATGAATATACCCGCTTTGATCAATGTGATTGGTTATTGCTTCAATTGAGTCCATCAGAGCGAGTGATGTTGATCTGCTTGTTCTGAAACCGTACTGACTATCGCTGAGTAGGTTGTGTTGACCTATGAATTTTTCCAGTGTTGTAGAGCTGTTCTAATATTTTTGAGAATTGTGGTAGTAGAGAAACTGGTCTGTAGTTGGTAAATTCCTGCTTGTTTCCAGATTTAAATAAAGGTATGACTTTTGCTATCTTCATCTGAAGTGGGACTGTACCAGTTTGAAATGATAGATTGAAGATGTGTGCTAATGGTTTGGCAATTACTGTAATTATTTGTTTTATCAGGGCCATGTCCAAATCATTGTAGTTGATTTCTTATTTTTACATTTCATGACTGTATTGACAATTTCCGTTTCACCCACAGGGGAAATAAACATGGAATGGGGATTTCTGTCAATTAGTTGTTGACGTTCTCCTGTGTGTTGAGGGATTTTGGCTGCCAAATCTGGACCCACATTAGCAAAGAACTGATTGAACTTATTTGCCACCATTTCCATGTTATATTCATCTATATTATTATGTGTAAAGAATTTCGGATAGTTTTCTGCTTTTGGTTTATTATTTATGACACTGTTCAATATTTTCCATACCTCTTTCACATTGTTTTTATTATAATCTAATAATTTCCTAAAGTAATCTCTCTTACTTGTATGCAAAATTGTAGTTAATTTGTTTTTATATGTTTTATATCTAGTCTCTGTCTCAATCGTTCTCTTTTTTATAAAATTTTTGAATAGACTATTTTTCTTATTGCAAGCATTTTGAAGACCTTTTGTTACCCAAGGGTGTTCTTTATATCTACTTTTTTTTATTATAGTATACAATTGGACAGTTTCTATTATATAACTCTAGAAATATTTTTATAAATTCATTGTATGCACATTCTGCATTTTGGATATTACATATAGCATCCCAGTCTTGAGAAAGTAAACTATTTTTAAAGGCAGTGATAGTTTGGTCTGATTGAATTCGTCTGTGGTATTGTATTTTTTCAGGCACTTTTTTTCTATGTTTATTACAATTCTGTACATGCTCTTTTGATTACTGTTGCATCCAGACATGCATAATTGGTTCAAAGGTATAATTTAAACAGATATGAAAATATAAAAAAAATTCCTGGTCTTTACAACTAAACAGATCACCGCTTTCTATGAACTTCATTGGAACAGGGCAACCCTCCTCTCTAAACTGTAATCGTAGATTCTTAGAAATAAATGTCTCACCAGCCACTGGCAAAAAATCAGACACACCACTTCCTCCTGTGGCCAAGGTTCAATGTGAACTCTTCCCATAGCACAGATTGGCCTTCTTTGAAAGTACAAAAGTGATTAAATGGTCATTAGTTAAATTATATTATTGAATACAATGCATTAATCATGAAATTAACTACATTACTACTAGTAGTAGTAGTAGTAGTAGTAGTAGTATGTTGATGCCAAAAAATACAACCAAACTCTACCTTTTGCAATTATCTACCTCTGACAAACTACAGTTATGCTGAATCAAAATGAGATGAGTTTTAAACTGCACTTTCCACGTGAGATATTATGCAAGTGTCGCGTTATATGTTGCCTGTGTTGTCTCTGTGTGTAAGGGGAGCAAATTGTACCGTTAAACAGGGAAATAAAGCTAGACTCTTTATCTGCAGCTGCGACCACACTGTCTCCAGTGTCAGTTATGTAGGCCCACTTTCTGCCACCAGGTGAAGTAGTAAGGTGATTTCAACATGAATTCAACAGGGAAGCTGCATGTAGGATTGATAATGATAATGCTAGATTTAGGGACGTGTTTATTATTGATAGGAAAGATGTTAGATAAGAAAAAGTCACAAATGAAGTTCATTTTTAAGTGGGATGACAAAAAAAAAAATGGGCTGTTCAAAATATGTTTTGAGCCATCTTTGGTTATACCAGTCAGTTGGGCCAGATTCTATTATAACAGTTTGTCTGGAGATCCCAAACAGGTCAGCGTAGGTATGAAAAGTAAACAAGATAATACTGCATGTCAGCTTACTGCCCTCTGCTGATCAAGTGTGTTATAGAAAGTCAATGTAATTAAACTGTTTTGTTTCAGACGCTGCGTACGAGAGCAAGAAATGTATGGTGCACTATGTAGCGTTTCTTGTGGCGGACCGTCGCCTGCTTGTCTCCATAGAGAATCCTTTGTCTGAAGTGTTCCACAGTATGGTATTAAGCTTTAGTCATACTGTGGAACATTCCAGGTAAAGCAAAAAAATATAGGCCTATCTATGGACGTGCCAGAAAGGTTACGTGCTCCTTTAAATAGTCACTGCCAGCGTTATTTTTAATACCCCCTTAAGCTTTTTATTAATCTTAATCAAACATGTAACGGTGGTGTCGGGAGTCGAACAGTGAGTGTTTTATTAACAATACAATTGATCACATATGAGCAGGGACGTAGGCGTTGAAAGTGTTGCGTAAAGAGCCCGTGGGTGACGTCTCGGTTTCGTTAGGTAGTAGTTCTGTTTGACACAGTTTTTCCTTTGAGAAGCTTCATCTTGCTGATATCACCACCATATTCACTCAGTAGTACAGTAGTAGACTTAAAACAGCAGTAGCGCATTTCAGCCACAGGACGACAGCACTCTTTTTGCATTTGATTTAACAACCAGACAAATTTTACAAAATGTAATTTATTTCTCTTATAAATATTAAATATAATAACAAAATATTTTAAAATTATGTTGTGATTTGCTTGAAATATTAAATTACGCTTAAAAAAAACATGCAAATGACATAAATATCAAAAAATAAGTTACTTTCTAAATTATTATAAATTATTCTGACATAGAACATCTCTCAATAACATTACATCTGTAGAAATGAAAGATTTGAATAAAAAAAACATTCAAGAATGTTTGGCGATAGAATTTACAACAACTACAATGGAGTTCAACAGTGACTGTCAATTATTTATTATCAATATTAATATTTAAATATAATTTTAATATTTATAGATCTATGCCACCCACCCCTCAGTTCTGGAAGTAAATTTAATTTTCCAATAGACATCCCAGAAAAAATATTTATATTAAAAGTTTGCAAGCTCGCTCACAACTTTCTGAAAGTTAGTTAATGGGTTTTTTGGACTTAAAACAACTGAAACATGGATATTTGTTAGCACAGAGCTGTTTAGTCTCCATGATGCCTTTGAACTTTTAATATCTGAAATTTTCGAAAAAGTCTATGGAAAAATGAATGGACAAATTCTTGAACCACAGTCACTGTTGAGCTCCGTTTAGACCAACTTAAACTGTAGTAGAACAATGCTAATAACACAGTAATACTGACACTTGTAAATGGACAAGAGGATTTAAAAGACCCTCCGGTGTGCAAGCTCTCCAGTCCATCTCAGGAGGAACGTAAACTCACTCACTGCCTTCACTGCGCCATCACGCTTTCTCTAAAAACACATATGTTTTACATATTATTTTTATATTATGTGCCATAATAAATTATTTGTAATTGAATGCCATCAGGTCATAAGTAGTTGTACAATTGTGATGTGTGTGGGTAAAAGAGAAAGCAAACATGGCCAATACCTTTTTGATTTTTCGTTGTAGTTTCTTGAAGAGTTTGGACCAATTTGATGGTGTGTCAGTGGGAACCTGAAATCATCAAATGCATTGAGGTTAGTCAGGAGTATGCACAGTCATCATCCATAAGGGACATTACTTGGACGCTGTAGCCCACATATTACAATATACCAACCAAGAGCAAAAAAATAAATCTAGCTTTTGCAAAAATAGCAAAGACTTGTGTTGCATCAGACACAAATGCTTAAATAAAATGTATTTTTCTGATGATCCCATGAAAGGTTAAACAGTTGTGTGGCCTGTCTTGGTGGTAAATACTCACGCAGTTGTGTAGTGTGTATTGAAGTCTATAGAGAAGGTCTGGGAAGTGAAGAGGCAGCAGTTTTTTTATTTCGTCCTGACTGAACACGGATCGCTGGTAAATGTCAATCATCTCCCGAATCTCCAACCAGCCAATAGCACCCTGAGGAAATCAGAGCACTATGATTAACTTTACTGATGTGGTGAGTCATTACAATTCATTGAATTTCTCACACACTAAATCCAATAAAAAAATAAAATAAAATCATGTAGTTTTCTTTGTCATTGACATAAAGAAATAACATTCTTATCTTTCAGATAAGATTTTTTGTGTGACTTCTTCCTTGTTCTTGTCCTTGCAGTCAATCTTAAATCAGTCTTTCATGATCTTGTTTTTTTTTTTTTTTTTTTTTCAATTTTAAGGTATTTTAGGTGCTTTTTAACATAAATTTAAAAAGCAATATTTTTTTTCTAATTGTAGAAAGAGATGTTTGGTTAGAAAAAAGGCTCTATATTAATGCAGATTAAAAGTGGTTAAGACAGTGTAAGTTATGTTCAATTAGAAAAAAAAGTTAAGTTTAATAAGCTACAAATCACCACTAATCAAGCTGAGTTTCTTGCTAAAACCCTGGCCTGATGAGGGACATTGCTCTGGAATCTGTGTTGGAATCTCCACTGGAAATCCACAGCTCAAATATTTACTAGGTGTAATTTGTAGGTGTTACCCTACAATGAAAGTTTTCACAAGTCGTCATGCAGAAACACTCTCACCTACAGGCTGCCTGTGGTTGACCAAACCCAAATAGAGAGAGTTTCACTGACCACTTTTTTTTTCTAGGTTTTATCATACATACATAAATAATACATACATACATAGAGACAGTACTGACCTCACGACATTTGGTGCAGAACTTGGGAAGAAGTCTTGCTCCCCTGGTAGGCTTCTCTTCTTTCTGAAAGCGAACACATACATGCAGTAAGCTATGATCTGTTCCCCACACTTTTCTGTTAAATTTGTTAAAAGTTTGCTTATTGCAGATTGTAGTAACAAGTAAATAAATGTAATATTATTTTCCCAGACATGCATTTAATTATACTGCTGGGTTTCAGCATCACAACATTCTATAGACGAACAATATTTAATGCAGTTGGTGGACAACGAAAGACTGTGTTAAGAAGTGGACAAAGGTAGTGTGATGTCACCCTTGGCATTTGGCATCAGTCAAATAAAGCTCACCGAGGCTGGCAGTTGTAGGAGCGAATATGGAGTGAATTCATTGGTAGGAACAGGAATTGATTTACAGACAAAATAGTAAAATAAAAACCAGAGTCATGTAGAGTGGGTTAATTCGAATGTTTAAAGACCAAAATGAGGAGCCTGACAGTAGCAGTTACAGAGAAAAGGGCAAGGCATAATTTTTTCAATGCAAAGTGAAATGGACCCAGAGTCAGTAGAGCAGGAAGCAAGCCCATGATCGCTTCCATTTTGAATGCGCCAGCTAGCGCATTAGCTCTGGCCATTTATATACAGTCTATAGGCACAACTAAACTTTATATTGTTAAAACAGAAACATTTTTTGGAGTCTTGTTGATAATAGAAGTGATCAGATCAAAGATTTGTGAATTTACCTTGTGGATATTTCACAGAAAACTACAGGGTGATAAATAAGTAACACTGGCTTGTGCCGCCATCTCGGAATATGACATCATCACAGTCAAGAATTTGTTGTTAGGTCTTGTTCCTGATAGAAATGATCTGTTTCATCATTTCTGCTTCATATATGTGTAATAATTAAATGTAATCAATAAAAAGTAGTAATACAAATAATGCCTCTTTCCTCCCATATGAGAGTTTGACCTCATTATGTTTAGAGTCTTAAAACCGCCAATACAGTCACATAGATCAAATGTAAAGTCTGCTGCTTCTTCCTGGCTAATCAATGAAGCCAATTTACATCAAATTTAAATAATCATCTCATCTTGCTGTCTTCACAATAATATGTCCTGACCTTTGGTAAAAATTATGATTTATTTTTACAGTTTTACAGGACAAAACCTGGTCACTTAAACTTAATCACAAATCAGCCACATCCATAGAAATAATAATGAATGCCAAATACTGAAATCAAATGGTTTTTATGTGCTACAGTGTTTAATCCTTGGTTGGTTGATTATTCATGGGATTCAGCTTTCTTTTATATGCAACGTTTTTAGAACCATGAATATGATTGTTGATGATTGATTTGAATGTCCTACATAAAATACACAGTCTATATTTAAGCTGACAGACGTATCCATGCATGCCTTTGAAGTTTTTAAATAGTAATGCAATTGTCCTACCGGTAATACTTTTAGCAGTTGTTGTGTTCGGTTCCACAGTTCCCGAAGTAGCTCAGGGTGTACCTCCTGATGGCAGCTGACCCCACGCTCCAGGGTCGTTGCCATGGTAACCGACTTGGTAAGGAGACTGAGCAGAAGGATGAGAGTGGACGTCTTGGCCATGTTTGAATGTAATGGGACATCTGCTTCTGCTTCCTTTATACCTCCTCTGTCTGAGCTCCTCTCCTCCCACCTGTTCTGTCTACACTTTTCTTTTGTTTTTGTGTCTGGCCGGGGTTTTACTCATGCTGTACCTGACTCAGCACTGCACATTTCCAAAGAGTACAACTCTCCTGCACTTCCTTCTCACGCTCTAATACTGTCATTCTGGAGTCCTGTTGGGTTCAACTAACTCTCTCTTTCTTCTTCATGACGCCCTTATACTGTTCATGATGGTGGTCAATGAGCGGGTATGCCACCTTCTTGATGAAGATGATGTTATAGTGAGGATGCTCGACATGGTATTAAAATGTATTTATTCAATTACATGTGTTTTATTGCTAAAAGCACAGATGTGACCTGTAATTTGGCCTGGTTATCTGCTTGTCTCCATGGGCATAGATATCAGATGCCCATACTGTGGAAGATTGCAGGCAAAGCAATAACATTCCTATGGAGACAAGCAGATGACATTAACCCGGCTCATGCCAGATTGATATGTGTAGCACTCTGAGCTGAGTTACACATTATCAATCTGGAAAGGCTCTTGATGAAAGCAATTGGAAAATATGGAACATTATAATGACCACTTGAATCTGATTAGTGGAAGCAGTGGAACAAGTCGAAAATTTTAACTTACATCCAGTTGAGAGAAAAGCACAGACATACTCTCTGTCTGCAAATGCACAAAGCTTAGCTTCTGCACGTTTTTCACAAAGAAAACTGTTCGTATTGATGCTAAAATAAGATAAAGTATGCCATGTTTGTTTTGGTTTGCCCACCCAATAACTATACTATACAACTCCAAGGTGGATTCTCAGAAATATAGCAAGAATCCTTCCTGGGATACAATCCAATGATACAATAATGAATAGGGGAAAAAATGTAAATGTAAAATGTATATGGGACACCAAAATTATGTTTCATATGTTGTGCACTTGTGTATCTGCATTAAAATGATTAATTACAAAACACAACTAAAACCACATAAAAGGCATAGGAGGCTGTATTATTTATATGTATCATTTGACTCACTGTCTGCAAAACACTATAATTTCTTTTTAAAATTAAGTGTGCACTATACTGACATTCCTGTTTTCTCACTACATTCCCTTGCCAAGCTTTGTTAAAACATTTTGGCTAAAGGTGATGTCATCTTTGGTAAGATCAAGAGCTTTTTGGCGTTTAAATGTGTGGTGAGATTAAACTAGGTTGTGGTTGGGGCAATGCAGATGGAGGAAATGGTGACATGGCAGGTAGGCTTCTCGGCTGTAGGTTTCAGAAAGTGTCGGAGACTCTTGTTTGACCCAGATTAAATTGGACTGTCAGCAGACTGCCTCAGTGCCACCTAAAACCCTGCTGTGTTCCTGGAAGATAAGGCAGTAATCAGGTCAGAGAAATTTCTCAGATCAGCTTTGTATCTATGTAAACATGAATACTGATAATGTTCATTCATTAATTGTCACAAGTGTGATAGATATAGGTTCACATCATTAAAAATCACAACAAACTTATTCGCCCTCCTTCATTTTATTTCCATATCATATTTCTTATTTCCAAGGACTGCAGATGGAAATTAGTTCTATAGTGTGCTATCTCTTTAATGTTTTCTTTGATTAATGCTCCTGCATGCCCTCAGTAAACTAAACTAAATAAATTAAACTAAATTATTTCAAAGCCCCAACTGTAATTTGTTTGTCCAACGTGCATAAAAAGCATGTGTGCTGTGATAGACATTTCTGGCTTTCATACAAGTTCAGAGGTTTTTATATCTTGCTCTGGTAATCATTCAAAGGTGCATTGTGTGACTTTCCTGGAGGAGGGTACGCCACCCGCTTGTTTTCATGGAGATGATATTGCTTTGCCTGGACTATTCTACAATTAAACATTTTTCTACATAGACACAAGCAGGTAATGCCATCAGGCCTAGTTACAAGTTAGATCTGTGGAAGTGAGGTGTCCCTGCTCAAATAACTATGCATGTTTTTCAATGTACTTTTGAGCAATAAAACATATGCAATTTAAAAAGGCAAGATGTACTTTTGATAAAATATTGCGGAACACTCCAGGCAAAGCAATATCAGCTCCATGACACAACCAGGTGACAAGCTCCGTACCATAAAAGTTAGGACCTTTAAAGGCTATTGGCTATAGGCCTAGATCACTGCTCACGACCCCATTGCTGCATTATGAGGACTACACTGCAGGCAGTGCTGTGGGCAACAGCTTCAAGTTAATGCAATGGAAAAATGTTTCCAATGTTTTGGTGATTAATGTTATAACCCTTTTTAGAATTTGTAATGATAGCAGTCACATTAAATGTTATCTAATAGCCAAAAAGGAATGTTGAAATGTATAGCCCGAGCACCTATGCGAAATTAACATATGTATATGAAACCTGTATCCTCTCCACCCGTGTGGTCTACGACACGCAGCCTGCAGCTAAAAATAGCAATAACTGAAAACAATACAGGTACTTGCTTCCTGGTCTGTGCTACCTGTACGCCTGGAAATGACGACACGCTGGACAGAACAGAGCCGGAATATCCCGGTGGGTATTCTTCGGTCTGGTATTTTTTAACTAATCCTGAGTATTACGCATTGCTCACATGTGGAATTTTGACAAGAGCTTAAATAAACGACATTTTACTGCCACCAGGGGGCGTATGTGGTGGTGTGCAAAATAACTGCATAAAAGATCTGTTGCTCAGATATGGACTTAAGATAGTTTGGGATATTTTTAACCAATTAATTGAATTGTATTGAGACAAAGAACGGGGGAAATAGGTCTGCTAGATTGTTTCATTATTTTCATTTTTTTTTTTTTTTTTTTTAATTATCCGGTCCGAGTCACGGGGCAGTAGTCTAAGCAGGGACCCCCAGACTTCCTTTACCCCGGACACTTCCTCCAGCCCCTTCGGGGGGACCCCAGGGTGTTCCAGGCCAGCCGAGAGTGCCTCCAGCGTCCTGGGTCTTCCCCAGGGCCTTCACCCGGTGGGACATGCCGAGAAGACCTCCCGAGGAAGGCATCTGGAACAGATGCCCGAGCCACCTCAGCTGGCTCCTCTCCCGTGTGACTGAGCTCCTCATCCTATCTCTAAGGGAGCGTCCAGCCACTCTATGAAGGAAACTCCACTTGTATCCGCGATCTTGTTCTTTCGGTTATTACCCAAAGCTCATGACCTCATCATAGGTGAGGGTAAGAACGTAGATTGGCCGGTAAATTGAGAGTTTTACTTTTCGGCTCTGTGTTTGCCTTTTTAAATTATATTATTTGTTTTTAGTTTAATTTTGTTTGTTTTTGTAATATTTTAGGTTAGGTTTTTATACAAAACTAACCAATTAAACAGTTTAAAACTGCATATTCTCAGAATAAGACAGCTGTGGATAGGGAGGATTTTAAGTTTTGCTGTACTCAGTAGGCTAACTCTTATAATTTTAGTTCATGACTGTAATTATATTCAAGTACAAGTAGCCTACAACCACAGGTTTAAAATTTTACTTAAAGAAGTACAACTACCCCCAAAATATCAACTCAATTACAGTAACGTGAGTATTTTTAAATTAGTTCACACCTCTGGTCATATTGAGATGGATGCCAGATTTGTCCCACTTATTTCTGTGCTTGAGGATAGGCCTAACTCTTGGCCTACTCAGTGAAAGTAGGTCAAGAGGTCACATCTACTTGTGGTTTCTAGTCCTTCTGCACCAGTTTTAACAATCACTTTCTTTCATCTTTCTATTCAACAGAAGGCAGAAGGTGACATATAGTGCAGTCATATTTCAGATGTGGCCCTGACCTTCTTGCTTAAGATGCTTAAGATTCAGTTTCTCATTACTCATTTATTAACTAATTCATTTATAAATAATTTTCTTATTAGTATAATATAAGTAATGACATATCACAAATTATGATATGAAAAACTTTATTTAGTAATAACCACAGTGTTTTTGTGCATTGTCATACATTAAATTTTAAATACTGTTTCATAAGCCATAACATGGCTACATGGTCAACACCCGAATGTTCGAGCATTATTACTGATCAATAAATAGATCTGTTTAAATACACAGCTTGCAAATAAATAGCGGTATAAAAGTGGTTCACATACACACAGATAAATATAATAAATAAAATCCAAATGTTGTTGTTCGGTCAGAATTTGGAGATTTACAGACTTTGTGCAGCAGTCTGGTTTTTGGGCAGAACACAGAAGTCCTGCAGATATGAGAAGAGGATGTTGATCTCTCCCACTGCCTTGTTAATGCCTCGCTCTTCTCCCATCTGAAACAAAAAAATATATATTAGTCACTGTTTATCACAGACACTCTTGTTCGGGAGTGAAGATTTAGTTTAAGACTTCACACCATAAGTCAGGGGTGTCAAACTCATTTTGGTCCGGGGGCCGTATCCAACCGACTTTGATCCCAAAGGGGCCGATCAGAAAACTCATGACACATAAACCTCAAAAATAACAATAAGTTCAAATATTTGTGCAGAGAAACACAAATCTATTACAGAAATCTTTTTAAATTGATGAACTCTTTCTTTTACAAAATATTATAATATTATGAACAACCTGAAACTTGAAGAAAAATACAATTTCAACACAGTGTTTTAACATGAACTTGTACGCAAATAACAATAAGTCAATTTTTCTTGGAAAATCCTGCACTCGGCGTCCACGTTTTTCATTTTTGACATTTTTCTAATGAGGGTGTCACGGTCAACAGTCAAAACTATCGTCCTTTAAGAGCGTACAGAGACGCTGGAGACGCTGCTGTGATAAACACCGCAGAAAATTACCAATATTTAAATAAAAAATATAATTAAAATATTTTAGTAGAAATAAGCCGAGGGCCAGATTAAAGGTCTTGGAGGGCCAGATCCGGCTCCCGGGCCTTATGTTTGACACCTGTGCCATAAGTAATGTCATTGAATGAATTTAGTGCATTTAATCTTCATCCTCAAATACTTTTCACAGTAAGTGTTTAAACAAGGAGAATATTTTTTACATTACATAGGTTTTAGCAGTTTCTAAATGAAAAGAATATGGATGAATCTGAAACACACCTCAGCAAGCTTCTTCCGAAACTGTACAGCATGTTGATGGTCATGATAATGAGTCACATTCTGTAGAACACAAAGACACAAAGTTAGACTCTTCTTTGTCTTTATCTTACTATTTCAAAACCACAACTTGAGGTTATCGAATTCAAATCTACCACAGCTCAACCACACCAGCTAACGATCCTAGTTTCAGTTGATGATCTAGATACTTACACAGCCGTGATTCTTGAGGTCCTCACTGACACGTCGCAAATCGGTCCTCACCCGGTGCATATGTGGATGCTTGTTGTCATGGCGAGGAAGGATGTTGCGAAGGTAGAAGTCCAGGATATTAGCATGGAGGCAGCAGATCTTCAGATGATCCTGCATAGAAAAGATTAAAATGTATTTGTTGTTGTTTTTATCAAAGGTTATAATTTGAATAAAATTATGAAAATATTCTTACCTCTTCAGTATCCACCCTGGGAATGAGTCTTGAACTGGTGTCATCAATGCTGCTGTCTTGAGCCTACAAGACAAAAAAAACAAACAAAAAAAAAACCCAACAAATTTAGGAAGACTAGTAAAAATGAGAAAAAGTGTACCTTTCTATTTGACATATAAAATATTTACTATTTACTGCCTTGCCTTACAGCATGCATTTTTGCACTTATTCAGGACCCAATCCTGAACTGGCACAAATTGCATGAACTACAGGAAATACTACAATATAAAATGATGTAAATGCAAAACACACTACATAAAAACACATCATATACTGCCATTGAAATTTGTTTGTACAAAAAAAAAAATTACCTCATGCGCCACTTTGTTGACAGCTTTGTAGGTCTCTGGATTTCTCAGTGGCTGGCTTTGAGAGCGGTGCACTGGAGTTGCTACTGCATATTCAATCCAGCCAATCAAAAGAAGTGGCAAAAGCAGGGAGACTGCAGGACGGAGAAATGATTTGAGAGCTGGTGAGAAGCACTGCATGTTGAGGTCCAGATGATGATGTTCCCCAGTTTGGATAAGTTGTAATTTGTGCTCCTAAAAGACAAAGTAATATTAGTAAACAGGAGACAGTTAAGGTTAAGTTATAGACATATCGTTCTGTTGCAAGCTCACCTGGTAGCTGGATGATTGTGCAGTCATGTCCCAGCCGTTGACTTATATTCATCAGTCCTCCGCCCCCTCCAGTGAATATAGGCCAGGTAACCAACTGAGAAAACCCCTTAGTCTTTCACTCACACACACACATACAGAGGTCAGTGCTGTCTTTGCAACTCTGTTTACTGTCACTTACACAAAGAGGAAATTAATTGTTACACATTATACTGTCCACTCTAATAACTTTTATTTTTACACACTATAAACTTTTTTTTTATTCATTTGAGTAATCACATTTTAATTTCCTCTATCTGAGTGAGTGCGTAGTGGCTCCTTTGGGAATTATGAACGGGAAGTGGACTTTGTTAACTAACTTCCCCAAGATGAAAGGGGAATAGGTTTACCCATTCATTTATGAGTGACAATAAATAATTATGTTTATCAAGGTCACAAGCAAATACCCCCCTTTGAAAATGTAACTGGTACAAAATACTAAATACCTGCATTAGAATGTATTTTGTAACATATTCTGTTACATGGCATTACATTTTACTGAGTTGCAATAAAGTTGCAACACTGCATTAAACTGCCTTAATTGCCATCTTTATCTGCATTTTGAGTTTTATATTCTTGGCTGCATAGTTATAAAAATGACTTTTTTTTCTATAATAACACATTTTAAACATGCACCATGTAACTTTTCTGGTGGTCTCCCTGGATATTTTATTGTTTTGCCTGGAATGTTACACAGTATGGCATTAACCTCATCTACCTTTATAAAGCACAAGCACAACACTCCACCAGACAAATTCACAGGTCAGATCTGTGGAGAAGTGAACTTCACTCAAAGTTTGAATGTATGCTTTCAAAGGGATTTTTGAGAAGAAAACCTTTCAGTAGATTTATGTTAGATATGTTCAGTACCATACTGTGGTACATACTGACAAAGTAATAAAATCACCATCATACAACCATAATACTATCTTGTAACATTGTAACTACTTATTTAGGATTACGGTTTGTAATAATTTACATTATACAGTACAAAAACCTTTGTATGGATGACAATATAGAAGAGCTGTCCACCAGTGATACGCCTCCTGGGATGCTGCAAATAAAAGTTAGTAATGAGGAAACATCCTTGGGAAATTTTGTGTGCTTATCTTACCAGCACGGAGCCACCCTCATTGGTGGATATTTAATATCCCACCCACAAGAACTTTAAAAATTTTTTTTTGTTTTTTTTTTCGGGAAGCTCCTCTGCATTTTCCATCAGCTCCCGGGTGTGGAAGATCGGGTGGCAGTGTGTCATATTGTGTTCAGAGCCATTTGGTGTGGGTTTAAAGCCCTTTGAGACTGAGGCATGTGGGAGCATCACTATTATCTACTGTTTTAATCACTACAGCTTGTAAGTTTATAGGTACTATGTAAAATGAGCATTTATTATGCAACACAAATATCACATAGCGCAATAAGTAACAGGGTGAGAGAGTTCATTTGCAAAAACCAGATAAGCGCCATTTTAAAAAAAGTCTTTGGATGCTTGGAGTTTACTCTTTGAAATATTATTAATGAAATCCACTATACTTTTTTTTGCCATTTTTTCCAAAACATATATGCATACATACATATAATATAAAATAAAGAAAGAAATTATACATTTTATGTATATAGGGCTTTTCTACACTCAAAGATGCTGAAATACACAATAATAAATACATAATATAGATAAATACATAAATAAATAAACAAATAAGTAAGTAAATAAATAGACTTATATTCTGCCTTCTCAGATGTGTACATTCATGACGCATACTGTAGCCCACACCCAAGTTTGCATTGTGTACTTTATGTGAGACTTATATAATGGGAATTTACAATGAGGAGGGCCAGCTTTGTTCAGTCTGTTTGTTGACTGGTAGTTCTTCATTGTGGTGTGATGTCACCACAGGGAAACAAGACTATCAGTGCTGACAGTGTATTAAAAATCTGAAGTAGTCTCCATTTGAAAATTATGCCATTGTGGCATCATAAATTACCAATGTACTTTGTGGAGTGGGGAGTAATACGTTAATCTTGGTAACAGCATATGTGCTGTATATGCTTTTTATTCATTATATTAGAAAAGTTAACATGACATGACATGATTTATGGCTTAGTCAGAGTTTCTAATGCTTGCCTTCAATCCGCCAAAAGCATCTGGGTCTTAACGTACAATTGTGTTTCAGTATTCTCAATTATCCGGTTTTTGGGGGGTTTTTTTGTTTGTTTTTTAAGAATACATAAAAACATTTAGGAAAACATTAAAGGTGCACTAAGTAACTTTTCCTGCATCGTTTTTGACATTGTTTTTACTATAATATTACACAGTGTGATGTTAAACTTATCATGTAGACAAGCCGGTGGCACCTGACCAAATGGCAGGTCACAACATTAGGCAACCAAACTCAAAATGTATACTTTTCACTTGCCTGGAATCCAAAATACACACTTCTTGGAGTTTGACCAATAAATTACTTTCTTCCAGAAAAAAAAACATTGCAATTACAAACCTCTACCATAAAAGTTACAAAGTGCACCTTTAAGTTGGGTTTCAATAAATTATGTCAAACCTTGACAAAATTATTACAAACATAGTGCGTGGGTTGCAAAATAACTCACATTTTCTGTTTGTGGTTACCTACATTGTAAGATGTTCGTCACTGATAATAATGAGGTCAGGTGACTGATCCACATATGATAACTGATTTGATGTAGTTAAATTAGGCTTTCACTTATTACATTGACATCTTAATTCTACAAAAGCACCTTCACAACATGGTAACATGGTATATATATATATATATATATATATATATATATATATATATATATATATATATATATATATATATATATATATATATATATATATATATATATATAAATTATTATATTCATTTTAAATAATCACATCTAATAAAAACATTATTTTGGATCACAAGTAAATAAAAACTAGTTGAAGGACACCATGTGCCATGGGGTCTTATGTCAAAGGTCAACTTTTTCCCCAGAAGTTTTCTCGTCTCCTCTGAGCGCGCTCCAGAATGGCAGACGCCCTTGTGCATGATGCTGCAGACTGCAACGACATCACCGACAGGCGGTCATCTGAAGAGAGAAAATAGTACAATTTTAATATTTTTGACAAAATGTATTTATAACTGAATGCTCTCATGTGCTACAAGTTCATTAATTCATATTTGATGGTGTTATAAACCTTCATCTGAATGACAGCTGACTGTTGCACACTTCCTCTCCGTGGCTTTCAGACCTAAATGCCCTGTTGACACACAGTACTGCTCTAATCACTGTGTGTAACAAATGCAATTAATGCCAAAAAAGTCATACTAAACATATAATTAATTATTGTTTATGAACCACAGCTACAACAAAAGAAAGCCTCACCATTATGCTGGAAGTCAGCATTTCGTAAGGTTCCCTGGATGCAATACAGAGGGACAGTGGGGGGCAGAGCTGCACCCAATGGAGGGGTGTTCTTGGAGGGGATCGGTTTAGAGGCCGCTTTGTTTAGTGTGGGATCTGCAGTCCAAGCTTCCTTGGGTTTTACTGGGATGTGCTCTGACGTGCCTGCATTTGAGTTTGCTGTTCCAGATCGCTGATTGACTTCATCAGTACCCTTCAGGTTTCCCACTAATATAGCACCTCCTAGTGGTTAGAAAGGTCATGTATATTATATTAAACTGCTGCATAGTCCAGAATTGCAAGCCTCCACATTCTAAAGACCATGTGATTACCCGTGGCAGGTGTGGTGAGATCAAGGTGAGTCCTCTGAATGGGAAACATCTTAAGTTTTGGAGTTGGTAATCTTCCTTCCTTTCTATACATTTACAGAATATAACACAATGAAATGTTCTCTAAAATAATTAAAATATTACCTTCATCAATTAAAGACGGTATATATGCATTGACCTTAAATGACAAATAGTTAGGCTCTGTCAAATTTAAGATATTGGTTTGTTTTGTAAAGAAAGAGAAAACTCACTCTCCATCAGATTTGTCATCTTCTTGTAATGGTAAAATATCTTCTACTATGAGGCTGTGAAGACTTTGAGTTGTTGTTGCATTGGTCTTCATTGTTTTGTTTGTTTGATTACTTTCTCCATCTTTTGAACCTACAGCTGAATCCCTGCAGCTGGATCTGCTAGCATTGCTAAAGAAAAACAAGAAATATCATTGCAGCATTAGATTTACAGCACTGTAGGATTGGACTGGCTGATTGATTAGTCATTTTGTGTGCATGTGTGTGTGTGTGTGTGTACACACACACACACACACTCACACATACACACACATATATATGTCTCACCTAGCCAGGTCCAGAGCCTCTAGACAGGAAGACCTGCCACTGCCTGGGCCTGCAGAACTGACCTCACACAGGTCTAGACAAGCAGACTCTGGCCCCTCAGTCGAATTAATGGTTTCTGTGGGTTCCCATAATGCATTGTATTCAGACAATAGTTGGCTCAAGTGGTCTCTGGAGAAATTAGTACCCCAAGCTCTGCGACGATATGACAGAGCCTGCTCCCTCAGCTCCTTAATCTGAACAATCACAAGGTGCACACATTTAGTTGCTGAAGACCACATAAAGGTTGAAATGTATTGGTATGTCCCTGAATAAAGGATTTTTACTTAACAATCAGAGTGGCTCTGATTATTTATTTTTGTTACACACATTTAGTATTTATACACGGAGACTTTATTGTCTAAGGTAGTATTGAAAAATCACAGATGTCTTTGTCTGTTGGATTGTATGATAATGTTGTTGAAGCTGATTATGATACATCAGTTCCAGCGAACTAAGTCTGACCTAGACCTGGCTAATCCTTGCTGTGCTTTCAAAGTAACCTCTGTCTCTTTGAACCAAAACCAAAAACCAAACATGAGCTGTAAATCTGACCACAGCATACAGCATCAGACAGCACAGTATATTAAATGTGTTTTTAAAAATTTAGTTTCAGTTAAGTATAAACCTTACTAATTTGACGTGTGTTAAAATAAATAATAAATATGTTGATGTAAATATTGGTATGTAATATATAAATCTATAGGATTTATATCACATAACAGTCACTTTTTTGTGTAAAATATGAAAAATACAAATTCATTTTTGCCATTAATACATGTGTCTGTAAACATAACTTTTTATTTTGAACATGAATTTAGTAGGTAGTGTAATATTTCACCTTAATTAATTTTTTGCATGTGTGTGTGTGTATGTATGTATATATGTATATATATATATATATATATATATATATATATATATATATATATATATATATATATATATATATATATATATATATATATATATACACACAAAAAAAAACATTAAATAATATCAGGAAGACTTAAAAGAATGCAGATTAAGCACCTTGATGTAGGATAAAATGTCATTCAATTTTCCATCGTCAGGAACATAACTGACTGTTATGTGACTAAAGCACGTAAACTTCTCTGAAATGAAGCTTTGTGGGTTTTTTGGTTTGTATGGTTTCCATTAGTAATACGCAGTAGTGAGATGTGAGTACAAAGCCCACCAACGCTTTTTACAGCAGTCAGCCAATTAACATTGTTGATAACATTTAAAAAAATTAAAAAGGGAAATCTGTATCCAGTATGTCTCCAAACTTGACAGCTGTGCTGTCCATACTACAGTGTGTTGTTCATTGCCTTGTTAGACATTATAAACTCTGCATGTGTATACTAATAATTCAACAAACAACTAACCTGTAGTGTGTGGCTTGTTGTAGCGTCAGTTTCTTCTGGGATATGCCTGAGAGGGTAACAAAATCTGGATTCATATTCTGTCAACACCCTGAATACAAATATTTTGAGTTAAAACACATTTCAATAATATGAACACGCTTTTCCAAGAACACACCTGTGTTTCTTTATGTTTGATGGGGCATGGTCAGAGGACATTGGTTTTGAAGAAGATTGTTGCCTGACCTTAATTTCTGGGCTTGGCGATTCACATTTCAGACAAGGATTGTTCTTGGGCACACTTTTGTTTTTCCTCTTTTGCTGTTGTATGACAAGCAGACACAGAAATTTATGGCTCAATAACTGTGACATGTGGGTCTGTGGTGTCAGCATTGATAAATCATAACACTTTCTATATTGTATTCATATGTGTTGTGAACACTAACCACTTGTGTGTGGAACAATGGAGTTCGTTCATGCTCCAGGTTTCTTAGAAGGCGGGAACCTGTGGGTGGGGCCAGGCCCTGAAAACTTTGCTGGTACTCAGTATCCATGGAAACCGGGTGCTTTTTAAACGGTGGGACAGTACTGTGACTGGAGTAGAGAGCCTGCTGGGGCAAGGTACAGAACGCACAATACAATAATATAGCAAATATACTTTGTATCAATAGTATATGAGCATCAGCAAACACACCATGAAAAGGACATTTTAATGTCCTCTTACCTCATATGCAGTTAATGTGGGTGACGGAGGTGTTGGTGCCATCTTCAGGGCAAACTGTCTGCTATACTCAGTTTTATGCCGATCAGATCTGTGTCTTGCTACCCTGAGTCCAGCTTTTCTACGTAGTGCATGCTAAAAATGCATACATTTATGAACCAACATTATTTGATTTAATCTTTATGTACTTAAAACCTAAAGTGCCTCACATCATAAGTTGAGGACCCCTGTGGATTTAAGAGTGCTGGCGAATTGCTGCTCTGCTGTTGGGACTTCATAACAAACTGGTCACTTGTTTCTAATAAATATAAAAATAATTAATAATAACTTTAAAAAAAAAAAAAAATTTAAAAAAAGGAAGAAAAGGGAGAAAAGAAAATGACTAATGGTAAGACCTTGACCGTACCAGGCTTCACAGTGTCCATGTTTTTGTTGGATGGTTGTCTGGTAGACTGCGGTTCAAGTGGGGGGTCAGGTTCAGATGGTGGAAGTGCTGCTGTTTTAGTTTGTTGTGTGTACATATGTGGGGTTACACATAGTCCAAAGTTATTAGATTTTTTTTACATATTTTAAGCTATACTAAATATAAAAAATGAAGACAAATTATGTCTTGGAATTCTGACATAGAAGAATGGACTTTTTACCAGCTGGGGTCTTCAATGAGTGTGCATCAATCGTTAAAGTTTTATGTGGTGTGCCACAGGACTGAAGTGGGTGGTGAGAGTCGAACTTCTTTCGTCTTTGGAGGCATGGTTCTCTGCTGATGCCTGAAGTTTTAATGAAGTCTCAATATAATCAATAGTTCAAATATTATGATTTGAAGCTTTCCAAAATGTGAAAAGGGTGACATAAAAAATGGGGTGGTGGAAGTATTTTAGCATTGTTTGATTGTAGATTTATTTGTGTGTGTGTGTGTGTGTGTGTGCGTGCGTGCGTGCGTGCGTGCGTGCGTGTGTGTGTGTGTGTGTGTGTGCGTGTGTCATTGACTACTTACCCATATGATCAGAACGAAGGCCAGCCGAAGGTGCAGAGAGCTGGGGTGAGACAGTTTTGGACCTGTAACTTCTCTGGTATTCAGTCTGACAAAAAACATCTGTATTGCTTTGATTCTTTAGATATGTTAAGAGTACCTTTGAGCCTCACCATTGGTATAAGTGGTGGATTAACTAACTAAATCCTTTGGCTATAATCAACCTGACTCTGCAGTACTGTGCGATGGAACAATTTTACCAAAATAAACAAAACATCAAGACTTTATCGACTCGAGCGTCTGCGTATACGTATCGATAAACTTAGCGTTTAGTTTGTACAGAAACTTCTTGCTAACAATAATGCTAACATACCAAGTCAAATATTACCTTGAAATTAACTTTCATGCCTTCTTCACATTGCTGGGAAATCTTCTTAAAATAAAGTATTTGTCATCGCAGGCTATGGGGGCTGTTATGTATGTTTTTTGTAAGTAAAATAATGTTTAATACATTTCCGATGTGCATGCTACAGCTTCCGTCTTTGTTACAAGCTGTCTTCGTTACCATAGCAGCATACATTGCGCATGCGCATTTACCGTCGGTCGTACTTCATTGTCTCAATTATACAATGCGTACTATCTAAAGAGATTTAAAACATAAGTTTGCGATATGCATCTTCTTTTATTAAAAGTGCCCTTAAAGGTGCATTGTGTAACTAAAAGCATCTGAAAGTGCGTCAAATGCTTTTCTCCATGGAGATGTTATTGCTTTGTCTGTAATGTTAACAGTATTAATCTTCATGGAGACCAAACCAGACCAAGTTACAGGTCAGATTTGTGTAGAGTTAGCCCCCACCCGTTTTTCAAAGTATTTTTCTTTAGCTAACTACCTGTAGTTGAATACATTTAAGGTAGAACTGTTTAATGTCATATTGTGTAACATTTCAGGCAGACATTTTAGCGTCCAAACAGTATAAAAGTTGATTTCAACATTAAAAGTAGGATGTGGTAATAAATCAATGGACACAGTGATAAAATAATATTTCTGTTTATGTCCATTGTCCATCAGAAATTTACCTTGTAGCCCAAGTATTTACACCTATTAATTTAAATGAGCAAGATGGATTTATTTCTAAACAGTCTCAGGGGCCAACTGCAAGTTTAATAATCTTTAAATCTAATCTTCAATAGTCTTTCAACCTCAATATCAAATACATGGATATGGAATAGATCTGAGATTAAGTTTCCATAACCTGAACAGTGCAGAACAGAGCTACTCTGTGCTTTATGCATCCTGAATGATCTTTGCATCGTAGGCCTTTTAAATATGTGGCCCAGTATGCACACCTCTGGTATATTATCGTGGAGTATGATCACATAGTGTTTGTTGATATCAATTAGTGCCACTAAGTGCAAAGTGTGGTCTTTGTACTTGTCAGTGATGAGCAGTCAATGAGCAAAAACACTGCATGACTGGGATGAACCACAGATCAGGCTTAAGATATGAACACAAACCAAATGTGTGTGATTGTGTACATAACTGAATGCCAGGAGTAAAGTAAGAAAAAACAACATGTATGTAGCAACACAATAAAACATGAGTGACTTTTGTTTTGCCAGACTAAAATAATTTCATTTATATAACTAAAAATGTGAGTTTATTAAGAGATTTACAAAACAGTCACACCAATGTTGTTATATAATTTCTGTAGTTAATAGTTGTTGTTAAAAGTTGATGCTATATTAAGTTTTGCTAATAGTTAATGCTATGTTGTTAGTAAAATAAGCCAAATGACGCCTGTGCTGTGTAATGTCACAAGCCTTAAGGATCACTATATAAATGTATGAACAGCTTTATTCTTACACATCATTTACAGTGGAGCAGCGTGAGGTCGCTATTCAAAGGCAACGTGTCGCCCCCTACAGCAGACCCGAGGCAGCTCACTGTGCAACACGCAGTTTATTCTTTCTGTCACAGAAATCAGCGAGCTTTTACCACATATTACCCATTGCAAGTAGTTATTCTTCTCAATAAAATAACACCTTTAGTATATGTTTTTTTTTATGTTTTTTTTGTGTTTTTGTTTTTTTGTTTGTTTGTTGTTTTTTTGCACTTTTACAAATTGGTTTGTAAAAATAGCACACTGAAAATATTACACTAAAGTGGAACAAATGTTTTTACCCCAATACTGCCAAGGCTCTACTGAAAAAAACAAAAAAAAAACCAACTTGTTTTATGCCAACATCGCCAGTATAGGACCATTCATTTACATAGCATAATGTTTGGTAATTAACTCCTCTAACTACTGTTGAAATGCTACCAAAGGAATTCAGGAGGAACGGGAATGCATACCTCCCGTGGACAATACTTGCAAAAATTAAATATGCCATATCTTCCATAAATGCTTGCCTTTTAAAACAATTAAATATATACTGAGTAACTAAACAATAACAGAAATTAATCAATATTTAGCATAGGGAGCAAATACCGGTGATCAATTGCAATCTTATACACCCACCTTAACAGAACACAGTAAGAAAATACAAAAATTGAAGTAATAGTTGACTTTAAAATTTTCAACATATAGTAATGAGATCCACTAAAATGATAATCACAACACACACATCCACACGTTACACCATAACCACACTAAGGGTCAGCCATAATGAATGTGGACGGTAGTGGACAGTGTGAGAATGGCTCTGCATTGTTAAAAATAAAGTAAAAAACACAAAAAGAAACATTCAAAATAAAAGCAATAGGCAACTCCAGGCATAAAATGGCCATCCAAAGAGCATTGTGGCAAACGTGGGTATCTTTTCAGGCAGTTGTTTTACACTGACGTGCAACAGGTAGAACCCTCATTACCATTGTCATCAAAGCAGCCAGTCTTTTGAAGTTTTGGTTTAAATGTTTCCAAGGCAGCAGTGTCTGTTAGTTGCAGGGTGAGGCTGTAAGAGAAGCCACTGTTCACATACAGGTCAGTGGTGGCTGATCTTAATGATGAAATGTGTTGAGAGACATGGCCAGTTGGAAGATATCCCATAACTTGTTGGTCAGGTACACCAAAGCTGTAAAATGAAATGTGTCTGTTGCATGAAATAACATAATAATGTTTTTTTCCTCTTTATAAAAATGTTGAAGACCTACTTGTCATTAGAGAAGTTGACAGGTGGACTTTTTGCGGGTTTTTCCAGGTGTTGGACTTTTTCTGTTTATCTGGCGCACAAGGTCATAGAAGATCTATAAAAGAGCACAAAACCCACATTAACTGATATGTTCACCAGAACAAACAGTTGAACATAAGTTTTATCTTGCAATTATAGTAAGGCTATAGTGAGATGCTGAGCTCATTTCCATGTCTGTGCTGCTAACAGCCACTTGAACTGGTGTGGTTTTCTATGTAAAAAGACTAAAGTAGAAAAATTAATTACAGCTACTTACCTTTTACTTTAAAATGGTTGTAAAATCCCCCCAGTCATCCAGGTAGGATGACTTTATTAAATCATTTGAATGAATGGTTCCATAAAATCTATTCTTCACACTTTTATGTTCAAGTCACAATAAACCAGCTCTGATTATATGTCATTACTATTACAGTATAGGTCATACATTTGACTTGAACATAATCTCACACTGAAAGTCAAAAACAGTATGTGTTTGCCTACCTCATTGACATTGATCTTGCTCTTGGCTGAGGTCTCCAGAAAAGCACAGGAGTTCCACTGGCGAGCAAGGCCCAGGCCAGACTCTTTGGCGACCACACGCTCCTCCTCCAGATCACATTTATTACCAACTAAGATCATGGGAACCTAAAGTAAAAGAAAGCCGCATCTTCATTTTCTACTATGAATTTTTTTTTTTTGTCTAAATTAAATGTCTACTATCATGAAGACAACTACATAATGTCATTACTTTTTTGTGCTAGTACTTACATCCTCTGTATCTTTCACTCTAAGGATCTGTTCTCGAAGGTCCTGGAGGTCATTAAAAGTTGACTGAGCTGTAATGGAGTAAACCAAGGCAAAGCCCTGACCATTTTTCATGTACAAGTCTCTCATCGCAGTGAACTGCTCCTAATAAGAAGCAGAAAATATATTGTGGTGAGTTACTTTAAATAAATGTAGCTAGTGATATTTTATATCTATTATACAGTAGTTAGGCCAAATGTTCTTACTGTTCCAGCTGTATCAAGGATTTCCAACATACACTGCTGCCCATCAACCTCAACTTGCTGAAACAAGATAAGATTAGATTAATTTTAGTTCCGCAGACAAATAACATCACATCTGCTAACAAATCAAACAGTATTAATAGATCTGTACTATTTAAAGTTTTACCATAACTTTATGTGGAATTCTATCCTACTGCAGCATGGCTTCAGCATTTTGCCTAGAGTCATAGCACCACTGCAAATAATAATAATGTATTGGATTTTTATAGTGCCCTGGGACAGACTGGCAGAAGAGAGGCTGCCAATCTGTGCCATCAGCCCCTCCGACCATGAGGTCACACTTTGATGAGGCAGTATCGCCACAAATAACTAGGTTGTAAAACCCAATCCATTAAGTTATCAAAAACAGATACATCTCTAAATAACTGTAATTATAAAAATATAGTGAAAACATCTGATACATAATAGATCATATAAAATACAACTTGAGACTGCAAACAGCTTACCTTCCTATATGAATCTTCTATCGTTGGGTCATATTTCTCCACAAAGATTCCCTGAACAAACTGGACAGTCTGGATGGACAGACAGGCACAAAGAGAGAGAGACGAGACAGAACAGAGGGAGAGAGAAAGACAGAGAGAGAAAGAGAGAGAAAGAGAGAAAGAGAGAGAGAGTGAGTGAGAAAGAGTGAGAGAGAATGAGAGAGTGAGACATAGAGAGACACAGACAAGCAGTGAGAGAAGGGAAATAGGGCAGTAATGTTAATGGTGCTCTGTTCTGTCCTCTATTGAAAGTCATTAGATTGGAATAAATGTGACACACTGACATATCTCCATTATTTTGTCTGGGGAGAGTGGCCCTTTTGTGCATGTGTGTAGTCAAAACTGAAAGTACAGTACAGAGCAGAGGTTGTTATAGGGCTGAGCAATTACTTAAGAAGAAGACAGAGATTCAGTAATCAATTATTTAATAGGCTTGGGTCTATTTAATTGAGAGATCTACAGTCAATCCTCTGTCAGTAAAAGCATATGTTTTGGACCAGAGTTCAAAATTCAGACTTAAAGGGAGGATATTTTTTAAATGTTTGTGTTAAATGGGAATTACTGTTAGTCTGTTTATGTATAATTAATTACCAACTTGTTATATGCAGATAAAACATAAAACTATTCTAAATAACTATTCTGTCATTATTTTTGTATTTTACAGACTATTCAAAAACCTTTAAAATTCACCTTTTAAAGTAACCTTTTAGCATCTACTTTGGCCAATAATACTGTATTGGTTGTGTTGCAGATGCTCTACCCTACAAGCAAGTGGTCTTTCTATATTAGAATAACAAAAATATTTTGATTTTGAGGGTTTGTGGCTCCCCAGAATTATCCACATAATACGTGAAATCAATTTATGCAGATTTTATCTCTTGTTTAAATATGTC